TTTAATTGATGAGACCCGAAACAGTATCAACATAAAATTATAACTATAGACGGATGCTCTAGAATCTAAAGGTTTTAAAATTAGCCGGACTAAGATAGACTTTATGAAATACAAGTTTAGCATTAATAGGAGTAGAGATGATGAAGTAGTTAAGATTGATGGTCGGTAAATACAAAAAAAAACACACTTTTGATATATTGGGTCGATAATCTAGGAAAATTGAAACATTGACGAAGATGTCGTACATAAAATTAGAATTGGATGGGCGATGTGAGAATGTGCAACTTAAGTTTTATATGATCGCTGCATATCGATGAAGTTGAATATTACGTTATGAAATATATGTAATACTACCTTTGCTCCATGGGGCAAAATGTTGGATAGTTAAAAAACAATATACTCAAAAAATGACTGTAGCAGAAACGCTGATATTGAGATTGATGAGTGACAATACAATAAAGGATAAAATATGAAATGAAGACATTCAGGAAAATTTAGGTGCAGCATCAATAGGCAATAAGATGAGATAGTAGACTTAGGTGGGCTGACTATGTATATCGTAGATCTAGTACAACACGTGTTAAGAGGTGCAAGTTAATTCAAGTTGAAAGCTAAAAAGAGCAAGGGATACGGCCAAAATGACATAGTTGGAAGCAGTGAGGAAATATATAGGTACTTATGACCTCACCGAAGATATGACCCTTAATAGAGCATAATGGCGGACAAGTATTCGTGTAGCCGACCCTTATTAGTTGGGAAAAGAATTTGACGATAAAATTTCAAATGACGGGTGAAAATAATTTTTCATATCATTATAAGGTTTTATGACACCTAATTTATTACTTAGGTTGACGCCTTATACCAATATTACTTGATAGATTAAAAAAAATATACCTTGACATTTAAAATGTGTTTATTTGAACGTACTTATTTTATTTAAAAATATACATATGAAACGTTTTGCATTGGTCGCGCCTCATTTAACATTCTTAATGTGAACATTCGAATATTGTTACATTGGGACTTATTTGGATATACATGTTGGCGTTGGTAATTCACTGTTTTACTGAATTTGTCACTACAATGAATTATTCATTATTTTGCAATATTTATCATAAAATTATATGAAATAAACGTTTATGTAGTTTTACATATAAGTTCATATTTTAAAAATACTTTTTTTACTATATTCAAAGTGACATGTTGAAATTCACATGCTTTTTAGCCAAGAAGAACCAAAACAGCTAAATTTTGTCATAATAGACATATAAAGTAATAATATTATCTACAATAAACGGTATGTATAATATATTACTCATATAATAAGTTTTTTGGTCCAGTTGAGAGGATAGGAGTCGAACTCGAGTTGTGGTGTTGGTCAGTGTCAATTGCTAATAACTCAATATGACTGATTGTTGTACAAAGAGGCGCTTAGATCACACACAAAAGCACGGCCATGCAGTTTGCACGTGGCATTTACCTCTTGTTCGGCCGTATGGGTCAGTGTACATTTTTTTTTGGGTGAGTGGTTAGTCTTCAATCGAAATTAAATGTTTTTATTTTTTATAAGAATGCAGTTATATAAGTGCATCCCTTGACGGATCCACTATTATACGGATATTGTGTAAATCTTGATTATTAAGCACGGCGCGCATTGCCATCCTTTACAAATAAGATCAAAATTTGGTGCCTTCAATTTACATTTCACATACAAAATGTAGGACGATCAAAGTGAAGACCCACATAACTAAAACATGACCAAACCCTACCAAAAGATGTTCTAGTGTTGAAAATCCCTATGAGGGTCCAAAAAAATATGGAAATATAATCAATGTGACCATTTATTTTTAATATAACGAGCTCACATTCATCATTGACCAATAAATTTGAAATTGGGTAGTTGATGATATGTCATGGTTTGGGCACAAAGTTGCAAATAAAATTTATTGAATGTTGCGATATACTCTCATATAGTGGTTAAAAAAATAGATCGGTGACCCGGATCGGACATCCAAAAAATCGAATTGGATCGGCGAATCGGTGATTCGGATCGAAAATCGGGCCAAATCGCTCGGATTAAGTGTTAAAAAAATTCAAAAAATTATTAAAATGTATTATAAATGTTGTTTTTTAGAAATCCAATAAGAAATAAGGTTACGACATTATTAACTTTCATTATTTTCATCAATTTATGAATATTGAGATGTTCTTTCCCTGTATGAACTTATGCTGACCATTAAATTTACATCACACAAAAGAAATCATATAATTATCATGGATTAAGTATATAATCATATATGGACTACAATAAAGAGTTGACTAAATCGATGAAAAATTGGCCACTAAAATCTTGAATTGACGGAAAACCCTAATCTGCTAAAAAAACCCAAATTATTACAACCTAACAAACTATAATATTATATACCAACAATATTTTATAATTATTTTATTATATAAATAATGACAAATCCAAAATATTTTATAATATCATCTAATTTAAAATGTATCATTGACAACTGTAATAAAAATAGTACACTACATGATTTATAATACCAAAATTAATAAATACAATAAAATATTTGGTTATCAATGTATAAATTATTAGAATGCATACCAATTTTCTTTAATTTTTTAGGTTATAGAATAAATTAGTGGAAGAGATTGTTAGTAGAAAGAAAGAGATTTCAAATGGCCTCAATTGTATGAATCCTATCTTTAAATTAATAGCACTAAATTTATGTTAAAGACCATCTGTTATAAAAATAAAAAATATAATTAGACCATTTATTCATAAGTTGTATTAAGAAATACCTTTTATTTTTTTGACAATAAATACTTACTGTGTTATCTTCATTTTTTTTTTACAAGAAAAATATGATACTTGTTGATTATCTTTTTTTTTTTTTTTAACAAAATAAGAAGATGATGTACTACATTTTTTTTTGCTTGTTGTACTACTTTTTATTTTATTTTTGCAAGAGAAATAAAAAAATGATGCTGCCAAAGTACATTTTATTTTTTTATGCTTTTTGTTTTATTTTTTTGCAAGAAATACTTGTTATATTATTTTGTATTTTTTTTACAAGAAAAAAAAATTGTTGTATTATCTTTATCTTGAAAAGCGTTTTATTTTTTATTTTTTCTATTTTTTTACAACAGTATTTTATGTCTTTGTTTGTTTATTTTACAACAAAAATATAAAACGAGGACGCGCGCTAAGGGGTTCGAACTCTTGACATCCACCGAAAAATTGGAAATGTCAACCAACACTGTTACGTTGCCTAATGTGATTTTATTAGCTTCTATAATAATATATATTCAATCGTCTTGCTTTAATGATTTTTTGTGGGAATTATCCCACATCGAAGGATGAACGTTGCTTTGTTCTATATAAATTCTTGTGTAATAGATGTTGCATTGCGCGTGTAGAAAAGCGATGGGGCCGACATGTGATGTGAGTTACCACTTGTGGATGATTTTTAGGTGCCACGTGTTGCTCCCGTGAGCGATTCACTATTGGGAATCGCCCGGTTCTCTCTGGACACGAGAATAGTGAATCGCTCGGTTCCCTCTAGACACGAGAATAGTGAATCGCCTGGTTCTCTCTGGACACGAGAATAGTGAATCGCCTGGTTCTCTCTGGACACGGGCGATTCCCGGTTCTTTCTGGACATGGGCGAACCGGGCGGTTCCCGTTTTTTCGTGGAGCCAGCGCGGTTGCAGACGATTCCGGAGTCGAACCGGGCAAGTCCGGCTCGACTCGGCGAGTTTTCAAACCCTGCTCTTATATATTGGATTTCATGTCGAATCGGGCGAGTCCGGCTCGACTCGGCAAGTTTTCAAACCCTGCTCTTATAGTCCTCATACAAAAATAAATGATCTCATGGTATATAATGCCAAAAAATATTTTTGCTTGTGACTATGAAATCTAAAGCTCTAAAAAATCATATAAATCAAGTAGATCTATAAATAATTGAAAACACTGGAAACATACAATTGAGATAATGTGTTACAAAATACATTATTTTCAAATAAAATGTTTATATAATGTTGATGCTCTAAACAATTAAATTAAGGCTTATCTAAAAAATTCATTAGAAAAGGTTATTTCGATATTAAAAAACCCTCAAATTGATCATCTCGACCTCAAGATGTATAGACATGAAAAAAATAGATCTCAAATATGCGAAATAGTATATTTTGTAATGTATTGTCTGGGTCATCAAATTTTAATTTCTTTAAATATTTATAGATGTTGATCTACAGATCTGATCTACACTATTTTTGAAGCTTTAAATTTTATAATTAGAGATAAAAGTAAGTCTTCGAGCCATCACAAAGATTTTTGCTACTGAAAAATTATATTTTAGTATTATTTAAACGTGCGATTATTCTGGGCCACAACTTTATACAAACCAAACCCAATTTTTGAAAAGCTGAAATCATTTTTTAAATATATAAATAAGGTAAATTTTAGAGTTTCCTGAGCTTTTGTAGTGTGAATGATGCACTGTTGGAAAAACCAGGCAGCCTAACCGGTAACCGCCCGATTTTGGTGACCGATCTAGTATTTTAAAAAATTATAAAACATCCCTAAATAATGGATTTTGTTTGTAATGTATTTTTTAATGCTTTTTATAATTATGGCAAATAGTGGAAATTATTTTGGTTATTAATATTTATTTTTATATTTTTCTATCTTGTTTTAAAAAATTTCAAAAATATCCTAGGTACAAATCGATTTTTTATCATTAAGATGTGTTTGTTTAATAGTTTTTAAAATATATTTTTTATATTTTTAATTTAATTTTTTCAATATTTTTTTAACCGCCCAAGATTATCCCGGCTAGAAAGGTTAAATTGGCATATTTAGTGGCTAGGCGGATTGAACCTCTTCCGAGCCACGCCTTTAACAGCTGAGGTTCGATTTTGCCAACAGTGTCTTGATGCGGTTTATAAACTTTTCCTTCATTCAAATACACTTTTTGGTGGGCACGTGCCTTACAGGCAAAAAACGACGTCAAGGGGCAGAATAGCTCGATGGATGGCGTGTAAATTTTGAAAGCAAGGAGGGTATATATGTAATCTATCCGCCTGCACAACTGTAGGGTTCGCATACTTTCTTCCCAATTGAAAAACCAAAAACAGTGGTGTGCCATTTACTCGCTTACAGAGACGATCAAAAGTATCACAGAAGATCAATGGAGAAGTAAGTTTCGTTAGTTCATTTTTTTAAGTTTTGTTAGTTCCTTTTCTCTGTATTTTTTATTCAAAATTGCCCTAATTTCACGAATTGAAAGCTCAATTATTTGCATTACATCGAAACTAGAATGTATCAACAGCATTTTCTATTTTCTATGTTTCATTTGCTATGAAAAAGGAGTATTAAACTAGTTTTTTGATGCCCTAGTCTTATATCTGGCATACAATGATTTAGGATTGGTTAGATTCTACTGGATAATACTTGTGCATTTACAATGTTTATTTTATATGTCTTGGAATTTGGAGCTCTAATATGATCCGACTGAGAGAGGAAATTGAGATAGATGGAATTTGAAAGTCATTTAAAGGAAAATCAGAGGGATCATGCATTGGGTAATGTAATTCTTGCTGCTTTTTATTTGATTAACTTAATTGTAAAATTAACTGAAATGACAAGAAACATTGACCTGCTTATTCATTGTTGCTTGTCAATTTCCCTCTGCGCATGACTATATGGAAAGTTCATATGCATATACCAATGGAGAATAAAAGAAGAAGAAAAATAGATAAAATTGTCTGCCACTATTAACATCACAATTGGGTTTCTTCTTTCCATTCAATGAAATGGTGGGGTTTATTTTCCACCGAACTTGTTCCGTTTCATGGAATTTGTGTGCCCCATCAAACTTGCCTGGATCATTTGCAAAGTGGCACAATGAATTTGGACCCGTCTAAGAGTTGTTCCATAATATTCCTCTGTAGTTATATTGAAAATTATTTAACTGGTGAAGGTTTGAATTTTGAATGTCACAGCATTTGAGATATTTTTAACTTTGTGGCACTTGAATCCATAGACACAGGGTATTTCTATTTCATGAAGTGTGCAACGTCTGCAAATAGTTAAGCACCTTTTTTTTCTTTTGATAAATAACACTGGCTATTAAAAGAAAGAAATATTTAAGCATATCTCTACTCTTGTTTATTGCAGAACTGATTGAAGGGAGGTTCATATATATAAGGAACTCTTAAGGAAATGGAGGTACCATTAGTATGAATCCTTTTGATTACGTTTTGTGCGTTTTAAAAATATAAAAGGATAGAGTACTGAGTAATGGAATGTGCACGGAAGAGGAGTGATATGATGAGCAGATTATCTTGATGTCTTATCGACCTTCATTTGTTTTACCCATATATATGGCATTTGCAAGGAATACCAGTAACATGATGCTTGGAACAGTGTGATTGCTCATCCATGTTCATTCATTTATATGTACCAGTTTGTGCTTTTTTTTCTTTTTAAAAGTGATTTGGGTATTATAGGTTAGCTGCATTTTGCATGCAAGCATGATGCTATACAAGCACATTAATTGTCTTACCGCTAAGGGAGGCACACATATACAGACCCAAACGTAAACATGCACCAGTTACATATCTGCTGCTTTGCATCCATATATATTGACATTTTCAGCAATAAATGATACTGATTTGTGTTAAGGATTTATGACCATGTTATGATATGGATTCACAAATTTAGTCGATGCATTCATAGAAAGTACACTGTAAATCAATGTCAAAGTGGGATATGAACTTGGGAACTTTAGTGGATCATGTTGCTCTTATTTATTCTTTCTAATGTAAATAGTTAATGTATAGATCTGTTAGTATTCAGTAAGACCCTTAAAGAAGGAGTTGTTGGATTTATCATTATCTTGTCGACCAGTTAGTATCGTTCCATATATGGTTAAGCTTTGAGTATGTTTTAAATTATGAGAAATCAAAGTGCAAAATAATTGTCGATGTGGGAATCAAATGTGTGAGTGCCCAATAGTAAAATGATTAGGATGATCTTATTCTTATATGCCAATGGGCTTTCACGTATGGCCTCCATTAGTACAACATGCCCAGACAAATTACAATGAAATAAGATGACAACATTCTTTCGGTAATGCTCAATCTCTATGATTTTCAGGTTATTGGGGTTCAACAGCTAAGGCTGGTTAGGTTCCCATTGTAATTACATTGTTATGAAGAATTCTCCAGTACCTGAAGACCAGAATACATGATCCTTATGAATATTTAGGTCTTTGATGCAGTAGACTCTCCCATAATCTATGTTCTTATATTTAATTACGTCCTATACTTTGTCAAAAGTAGTGGGGACCAATATCTTTTCATTGTCAATGATTCACACTCTCTGATTTCTAGTAATTTATACAAAATTGCAAAAATATGACGATGATATAATCGATTAGAATGTTTTTAATAAGAAATTATCGTAGAAAAGAAACTAATTTTCTTACATTATTTATGGAAAATTCAGGTTTAATTACCACAAAATTCTAAATTTTTATAGGTAAAAGTAATTCCCTTTGGGTATTAATTGTTAGAGAGATTCAACCTTTAATAATAAATAAAAACCATGCCGCCCGAGAACATAGATGGTTAGAAAGTCTACTAATATGTCATATATGAATACAAATGACAAATAGGTCACTATATACAGATGTGAACAAAAGTGGATGTAGTTTATGGGGCTTCATTCCACTTATTTGCTATTCTCTCATAGAAGTGGTATTTTCAATTTGGTTTTCCTTATTTTAATATCACTGCCAGCAAAAGATGATCTCTGTGTTGTGTGTGAGGATATGCTGTCAAATTTTGCCCAAAAAAGCTATATCTTTATGAATGATCAATACGGAATTTGCTGATATTCAACAAGTTACAAATTTAGATATTATTAGCTGTATGAAAATCTATCCTCATTGTGCCAAATGTAAGTTGATGAAATGGCTGTCTGTTGGTGAAATGGCTGTCTGTTGGCTCAGAATGGAGCCTTACAGATGAGAATCAATTTTATGTAGTATTGGTACTGCCTCTTAGTTTTGTTTGTTGCAGCAATGGAAATCTGATAATTGAATAAATTTAAATATCTGATACGAAATTTAGAAGATATTAGTTTTAAGGAATTGAATAGTCTATTGGAGAGAAATTTATCAGCCAGCAATTAAGGAGAAAGCTATTCAGATAAGGAAAAAGTTTATATAGAGCCGAGGCTCTAAATAGTAAAATTAGAGCGTACCTCAAAAATTTCACTAGAAGGTTTTGATGCCCAAATATCCTCAAATCGATCATCTCGACATCAAGATGCATGGATATAAGAAAAAAATGGATTTCAAGTTTTGGAAATAGTGCATCTGTAATGCATTCTTGGAGTGTCAATTTTCAAGATTTTCAAGTTTTCCATGCTCGATCTATACTATTTTTGAAGCTTTAAATTTTATAATTAGATATGAAAATATATTTTAAGGATATCACAAAGATTTCTAGTATTGAAACCACACTTCTTGACACTATTTGAAGGTGCGCACATCTTTGATTGTTTAGAGCCTCGGCTCTATACAAACCTCACCCTTCAGATAATCCGAAGAAACTACTCAAGCAACCAATTCTGGGACCTGGGTTGATTCGGTGGCAACCTTCCTTAAGTATGTATGAGTTATTTAGTGTCAATTAATTCCTATTTTACATTAGGGAAAAGTTTATATAGAGCCTAGTCTCTACACAATCAAATTAGAGCCTACTTCAAAACATTCATTAGAATAGGTCGTTTTGATGGCCGAATTTCATCAAATTAATAATCTCGATATCAAGATGCATGGACATGAGAAAAAAATGAGTTTTAAGTTTTGGAAATAGGGCATCTTGTAACACATTTTTCGACCGTCAATTTTTAAGATTTTTAAGTTTTCATAGATCTGATCGATCTACACTATTTTTTAAGCTTTAAATTTTATAACTAAAGATGAAAATATAATTTAAGGCTATCACAAAACTTTCCGACATTGAAACCGTATTTCTCGACACTATTTGAAGGTGGGCTCAAATTTGATCGTTTAGAGCCTCGGCTCTATACAAACCGCACCCTTTACATTATGACGTTTACGTAGGTCCTGTTTTTGCTAGTGTTATAAGTTTGTTTACACCAGTGATTTAAAAGTCGGCGAGTCGCAACGGTCGCCCGAGTCGGCACGAGAATCGGTATGCCTGATTCCGCTAAAACACATTGGATCACCCGGTTCTAGAGAAAAACCGGCGATTCAGCACAGTAGACTTGCTATATGATGTCATTAATCGCTCGATTTTGATGTGTATGGGCGGTTCTGCTACAGTAATCCATGTGTTAAAATGGGCCAATGATCCTACGGTACACCAAACTCGCCACGTGGCGTTGGCCAAGGGATTCGGCTTGTTTCGCATGTGCTACAACATTGGTTCACGTGTGTTACACGTTAGATGTGCAAGGAAGTATTTATTCGCTTGAATTTACTCTCACCTTTTCAATGTGGGATATTGTGGAGAACAGGTAATAACATGAAACAACAATGTATTTTACTAATTTATTTGGGCTGTTTACATCACACCGTGGCCTGTGGTGTATCGGTTAGCGTGAACGTCATATACATGGAGGTTGGTGGTTCGAGTCTCCACATGGAGCTCGCTTTTGCAACTTTGTTTTTGTCTTATCTTGTCAAATTTTATTTTTTTTATTAAAAAAATAGTAGGTTTTTGTAAAAAGTAATAAAATGTTTTTGTCAAAAAAAAAATATGAAAGGTTCTTATCAATTTCTTTTCTTCTCAATTTTCCTTTTTTTGTCAAAAAGATAAAGGTTTTTGTCAAAAAAATAAAAGGTAATAAAAAGTTCTTCTCCAAAAAAAAAATGTTCTTATAAAAAAAAAGGTAATACAATAAGCATTTCTTGTCACAAAAAAAAGGTTCTTGTTAAAAAAAAAGAAGGTAATAGGACAAACATTTCTTGTCAATAAAAATAAATAAAAGGTTCTTGTCAAAAATAAATAAAAGATAATACAACAAGTATTTATTGTCAAAAAGAAAAAGTTTTTGTCAAAAAAATAAAAGATAATACAACGAGTATTTCTTGTAAAAAATAAAAATAAAAAGTTCAAAAATTGGTACGCGTTTTAATAATTTCTACATTGATAACCAAATCTTTTATTTTGTTTATTAATTTATTTGCATTATAAATTATATTATGTACTATTTTTCTTACAGTTGTCAATAGTATATTTTATGTTAGATGATATTGTAAGATATTTTGAATTTGTTATTATTTGTATAATAAAATAATTATAAAATGTAAAGAACAATTTCAATTTAAGTAATTTTGGATTATAGTTAATTAGGCTGTAATATTTTGGGTTTTTTTTAAATGATTAGGGTTCTCCACCAATTCGAGATTCTGGTGGCCATTTTTTAATCAATTTAAACCATTCTTTATTGTAGTCCATGTATGGTTATATAATTCATCCATGATAATTCAATGATTTTTCTATTGTGTGATGTAAATTTAATGGTTAAAATAAGTTCATACAGGGAAAGAACATCTCAATATTCGTATATTGATGAAAAAAATGAAAGTTAATAATGTAGTATCCCGATTTTTTATTGAATTCCTAAAAAATAACATTTATAATGAATTTTAATAATTTTTTTAGATTTCTTGTAAGGTTGAATCCTACCGACTCGGCCGATTCTCGATCTGGATTGTCGATTCACCGATCCGGATGGGTTTTTGGGGTGCCCGATCCGGGGCACCAATCCGTTTTTTAAACCACTGGTTTACACATATATAACAGGGTTATTGTAGCTTAAAGGGTTTGCCTTCCACATAAAACTGTATCAATGTTTCTGCTCCCCTCCTCCCCCTGCACCAGAACCTACTATTGAAAACCAAATAAAAAATAAGAAAAAAAAAGACCTTTTAGGCTTTTTAACATTTATCTTTGATTGATAGTCTTTGTTCCTTTCTCTTTCTTTTTTATTCAAAGCAGTATGTTTGGACATTTGTATTACATTACTTATTTTTCTTGCTTGTCCGATATTTGTCCAAGCTTTTAGTTGCTTCTCTACCATTCATATAGTTTATTTTGAATTTGATTATTGGCCTGCTTTCCTATTGATTTAAGTCGACTAATATTGGCGAATGGTGATGTCATCTACTAGAATTGGGAGCTTTCCAATGGGCAGTCAGGCACTGGGAGGCATGTCTTTTCAGTGGATACGCTGGAAAGGTACGCATCTAAGGGGCATGGAGCAATTACATGCATGGCTGCAGGAAATAATGCTATTGTTTTGGGAACTAGCAAAGGATGCGTTATTAGACACGATTTTGGAGGTGGTGATTCTTATGGTACGTTTTTACTACCTCACTCGCATTATTTTTTTTTCTTGGTAAAGGATTTGGACTATGCTCGTTGACATATTTTGAATGATGTCGTTTGCTTCTTTTTCGTCAAGGTTGATTTTACTAGGTTATCATTTTAGCATAATAACCAGGCTAGCCCAAGGTTGTTCAGCCATGTATAGTTGATACCTTGAGTCTGAGATTTTCCAATATTACTTGAAGTTAATTGAAATGGCTCGTTCAACTCATATTGATCTGAGGCTTGTTTCCAAACCATACTGAGTTAGCCTCAAATGATCTCAAACTTGGTTTTGATTTGATGCTTCATGTTAAGGCACTGTAAATGGCAAGTATGGTTGTTTTCGCTGTATCAGCTTATTTTGGGTATGGTTCCTGTAATCAGTCATTTCCATCAATTTTACACTAAAAGAGATATGTAGAACTGCCTGGTTTTTCTACCAACCTGTGCAGGTCAGACTGCTTTTCTTTATTTATTTATTATGGGTGCAAGAAAGTAAGCTGCAGTTAGTGCAATCCTTCAAATATGAGGAGGGTCGTACCAGTGGTTTTTTTTTGTGTCTGAAACATGTTTATTTGCTCTCTTTAAACATTGTCCAGGAGGATGGGAAGAGCAACAATGTATAATCATCTTGAGTTTAGGTGTTCGGTACTATTGAGTATGTATTGAGGATTCTAGTACATAGAGAGTGCAATTGTTTCCCATTAGGGAAAGGAATGTGCAAATTGCAGCCAAGGGTATTCTCAACCATGCATATAAATAGCATTTCACTTGTACAACTGCTTGCATGAATTCACCTACTGGTTGAATTGCATCCTTTAATTTGCCATATTGTCATCCTAGTAATCTCTCTTACTGAATTTGGTTAGAGATAAGGCTCACCATGATCTACTGGTTTGTGTATTATCTGCTCTTGCAGTCATGCTTATATCTAGGCATTACATATTATGTAGTTTTCAAACTTGAAACTCTTAAAAGTTGTTCACGAGGCAAGTTGTGAGGGGAACAGTGATCTATGTCTGTTATACCCATTATGTACTTATAGTTTGTTGCCCAATGGATGTCATTGTGTTTGAATATAGGCTGATGGGCAAAGATGTGTTACGCATTTGTGTATAACACAGCAAGGGGCGTGTTTGAATATGAAAATTTAGGCTACTCACCCTCATATTATATAAGGTTTTTATCAGTGTTTGGCTACTCAGCTTGAACCCAGAACTCAGTCCTTGGCTGGACCAAGTTACACAGTCAAGTTTGAGTAGACTTGCCTATTGCGCACTGAGGACCTAATGACCTAGACAAATCTCCCTCCCCCCCCCCTCCCAACCAAAAAAAAAGAAAATAAAAGAAAAGAAATCCTAAAAAGAAATAGGGAAAAAGAGAAATGATAAACAACAGAAAAGAATGTATACAAGATGAGAAAAACTTATAAAAAAAATTAAAATATAGAAAACTGGTTCAATCATATTTTCAGGAAAAATGATAAAAAATTGAAAAATAGAAAAATAATTAAACAACATAAAACCATAGAAATTATAAGCAAAACTAAAAATCAAATATTATATCAAATTATAAATGGAATATAATTTATTATATATTAATTGTATACCCCTCGAGTTGGAGGATTTAAGGTTCGGCACCCTGCTGAGCCCAGGTAACTCGGGTGAGTCTATTGGGCTTGCCCAAGTGGTCAAATACTGGTTTTTTTAAAAAATCAATCCTTTGATTTAGTGATTGTTGCCATCACGCAGTCCTATGATTGTCACCATTTCTCTGCTGCATGTTAATCTTCCTGTCATCTAATAGTTTGGAATTTTCATGCACATGGATTCTTCGTATATCCCCAATTGTAGTGAGTGTGCATGTATTTGTCACTGAAGATGGACCGTATTTCATCTTAAACATATTTGATAGGTAGGTTGGCATGCATTTGAGCTAGTTATTGTATTCTAGATTTGTCTTCATTGCCATTTTTCAAAATGGCATGAAGCAAGTGCTCCTGCCTTTATGTCTTCTTACTCCTCTATTTACAGTTTGCAGTACTATTGTCTTTTTCTTGCCAATGTGAGTTTTATATTCTGTATCCTTGTAGTGATATTTATTTTCTATTTTCCTCTACTGCAGAACTTGACCTTTCTGTTAGTAAAACTGGTGATCAGCCTGTACACAGAGTTTTTGTGGACCCTAGTGGCTGGCATTGTTTGGCTACAGTCTTGACCAGTGGAGGAGCTGAGACATTCTACATGCATGCAAAGTGGCAAAAGCCTAGAATTTTAAACAAATTGAAGGGCCTTGTGGTGAATACTGTCGCCTGGAACAGGCAACAAATAAATGAAGGTTTCTAGGAAAGCTTATGTTTTCTAGATTTCTTTAGCTTATACATTATCTGGCAAGGGAAACTCATAGGTCTTCACATTGCTTTTTTCTTTCTTTGATTTATTTTATACCCAGCTACTACAGGGGAAACCATTCTTGGTACAGCCAATGGCCAACTTCATGAGATTTTTATGGAGGAAAGGGATAAAAAAGAGAAGTATATTCGGTTGCTTTTTGAACTAAGTGAGCGTCAGGAAGCCTTCATGGGTTTGCAGGTACTATACAATGTAAACTACATTTTCACATGGTATTTATCATCATGATGCATACATAAGCATTTGATTTTTTCTTGTTAAACTACTCTTTCTTTCATTGGTTTTCTGTGATGGCATTTTTTATTTCGTTAATGAAACGAGATTCTCTCTTTTACTTTTTCACAGATGGAAACAACAAGTTTGAGCAGTGGGACTAGGTATTATGTGATGGCTGTTACTCCTACCCGGCTTTTTCAATTTATGGGCATAGGATCATTGGATGTAAGTTTGCATTAATTATACCAAGCCATGCTTTTTACCATGTTACTAACGTATTTGAATTCCAGCTTTTCTGATTTTTGGTCCTATTTGGACATTATGACAGTATGCTACTGGTGCTTTCGAATCATATAATATTGGACTATTTACTAATATTGTTTGCATAGCTTCTGGAATCTCCTATCCAGAGTTAGTAGGTTGTTTCGTGGGCAATAAGTTTGTATCTGATGATATTATTAACTGCCATATTGGTTTCTTATCAAATCTGGGTTGACCTGGCCAAGTAAGGTCTGTCTGATCAATGTCAGAATTGATTTAAACAAGTGAAGTTGATTTTGCTTGGGGCTCTGGATTTAACTCACTGTGAGAGACATTGATATTAACCTTAGCTATTACTGTAGTGTCTTGGTCTTCATCAGCATTTCTCTTCATGTATTTCTATTTATAGTCTGATGGGTGAGCTTTCCCGTACCGAGTTGTCTATTTCCTTCCTTTTTGTCTATTTGATTATCTAGATCCTTTCTTTTTTTACTACAGTTGGCTTGATTTCTTCACAGAGGTCATTGAATCATCAGAAAACTGATTCTCCATCTCTTTCAAAGGATCTGATCCTTTTGTCTTGTGCAAAAATGCTAAAGGCATATTTGTATTGACCACCATATGGTATTTCTACTATTTTTTGACCCCTCTCATGTGGGAATTACTACCGCAAATTGAGTAATGTCACGTTTTGAGCCCCACTTGGGTATAGAATGCTGCCAAGCAGTGGTTTTTGATAATATACAAAGATAAAAAGGAAAAACAGAAAAAATAGGCTTGCCTTTCCCTTGTTCTATAATTGTAGTAGAAAGAATAGCCATGGGGTGGCCACCTAGACTCTCCCCAAATGCACATGCAAGGTTTGTCAAGCTAAGGTTAGACGGCCAATCAGATGGGTCATCCAGGGTCACTACAATATTTTATAATGTTGGTAATTCTCTAAGATCTTTTAAGTATTTCAATGGCTTGGTCCTTGGATTAATAACAATTTTTATTTTTATTTTTTTGAGTAATCCTTGGTTATTGTGAATGGTGACTTGGAATTTAAGTTTTCTATTAGATGGGATGTATCAGTCATAGTAGTGGGGCTTGGTTTTGGGAGTTGAGGATTTTCCCTACCTTTTTTGCCATTATTATTGAGGGTCTAGATTAGATTGAATCAGAGATCAAGATTTTATGGGAGCTTTAGTATTAATTGGTGGATTATGTGTACATGTGCACAGGAGTTTTTGGGGGAAAAGAAAGATCTAGTAAAAGAAGAAAGAGGTTCTACTCCTTTGGTTGAAAGTACCTTGTTGAGTGTTTCACCTTCTTCTTAGTTATTGAGGGTCTAGATTAGATTGAATCAAAGATCAATATTTTGTGGGAGCTTTAGTATTAATTGGGGGATTATGTGTACATGTGCATGAGCGAGTTTGGGGAAAAGAAAAAGATCTAGGTCTTCTTCCTCCTCCTCGTTCCTCTTCTTAATTTTCAAGTTTCTAGGTGCTAGTTCTGTATACCGTAGGTCTTCTCCTTTTTCCTTCTTCTTTCTTCTTCTTCTTCTTGGTTATAGTTTTTTAAACTGTACTTCTTCTTCTTCGTAGTTATAGTTACTCAAACTGTTATTAATCTTACCTAAATCATAACTGGTGTCATCAGGTTTCTAAGTGTTACTTCTGTATGGTGTAGGTTTGATTTGCTGCCTATGCTGATGTTCTGAGCATTTTAGGCAATATAATAATTCCTTAAGTAGTTGTTATTACTCACTGTTATAATACTTTTTATTGTAAAAAGAAGCACCAGAACCAACCTGAATCCAACCTAAATTATAACTGGTATTCTCAAGTTTCTAAGTGTTACTTCTGTATATCGTAGGTTGTATTTTCGGCCTATGATGATCGTTCTGGGCATTTGCTTAAGTTGTTTTAATTACTCAAATTGTTATTATATTTTTATTTTAAAAAACAGCACCATGACTAACCTGAATCCAACCTAAATCATGGCCAGTATTGTCAAGATTCTAAGTGTTTATTCTGTATATTGTAGGTTGTGTTTGCTGCCTATGCTGATCGTTCTGGGCATTTTATGGAGATTCCTTGGGAAATACCCAACAGGCAAGAGCTTCTTTTCATGATCACGTGAAATAGAAAGGATTGCGTATCTTATGTAGATATAGAGGGTCGCGTAACTGATGTTTATCTTTTATGAATTATCTCTATTAATCTTCTAAGGGAAATAAAGACAGGAATTTTCATGAGTTACAATGGTTAATGCCCATGGGACTTGGAAACATCACTTGTCTACAAAGAAGCTATGCTCTAAAAGTATCTTGTGGTGATTCAGTGCCATCTTTGGCTATACTATATTGGGTTTTCCAGTTGCTTCTATAGCATGTAAACAGTTCGTTTGTTGTTGCGTATTTCATCCTGGATCCACGCGAATTTGTCAATTGGGTTATTCAGGCTTTCAAATTTTTTCAATCCAAAACTGAATTTGATCCTTCTGGTGCCCAATATGCAGCGAACTTCACTTCTTTATCAGGCAAAGAAGAGCTGTGCATTTCGCATGGCTTTCTGGAGCTGGTATTTACCATGGTGACCTAAATTTTGGCACAAAACACAGGTAATCTCTTCTATCTTAATGTTGATACAAATTTGTCAAGTATGTGTTTTAAAGTTCATTTGGGATGTACCTATTGGCATTTTCTAACATTTGTAAGTTTTTAAGCTGAATTTGATTTTACCACTTGCTGGTGTGGTTGGTTGTTACACTAGTCTGAAACATTACTCTGAAACTTTTTGTTGTTTTTTCCTTTTCATTGTATATCCATGACTTTTATTTTCCTCAAAAGAATTAATTTGCTTCCCTCATGGTACTGTTGTACATATCAACTATCCGTTCAAGCAATGGAGATGAAAACTTTGTTGAAAACAAGGCCCTATTGGATTATTCAAAATTAGGTGAAGCTGGAGAAGCTGTTATTCCTCGCTCTTTTACCTTAACAGAGTTTCATTTTCTAGTTCTTATTGGAGATAAGGTTAAGGTATGGATGTACATCCCTTTGTTATGACTAATCATTCTTTCTTATTTTCGCTTTCAGTCACTTCTCCATGAGAACGTCTATGAGTGTGATGATATTGTGCTGGTTTATTGATTATCAGTATTACCAAATGTGGGATGCATATTCAATGCATTGGGAGGGCGCCGATGCACTCTGTGGCTTGATGTGGTCCTGGTGCGGGTGCATCCCCTCCAATACGGTCAATAAATATAAAAAGGTTTTGAAAAGATTATATAGAGTATAAGAATACAAAGAGTATGTGAATATTTGAGGTATGTGATAGTCTGCATTTTAATTTAATATTTATCTAACATATCCGCTGTCCTAGTTGCTAATTGGTTGATAACATGATAAAGAGTAACAAAGTTTGTTGTCTCAATTCTCTATTAGTCTAATGCAATTAACATGCAAAATAAATTAATACATCCCATTGGCTAAAGTAAATAAAGGGAAATTTATCAAGAAACACCAATTTTTTTACAATTTAACAGTTTCCCCTTTTTCAGCCATCCCAACTTATGGTCATGTGTAATTTAATGGGTATTGTGGAATTAAATCAAAAGATATGGGTAAAATGTTAAATAGTTGGTCCATTAGGTGCATTTTGATGAGTTTTCCTTGAATAAAACATATAGCAAGTGACGAACCAAACACTTAAAAAACATATTAGCATCCAAGTACCGCGACCTAAACACAACTTTCTTTCATAGGAATTCCAATTGCTGAACGCGAGATAACACCATTACTCAAATCAAGGTGGGTAAATCCACCCTGGATCATCCACATTTGGTGGAATATGCTATCACCACCTTTTCTCAGCGCCCTCTGATCCTAAGCCAAGAATGGGAAACCCTTCCTTCCTGGCCATTCCTCCAGACAAGGGCAATCTCGCTGGAACGCCCTTTCAATGAAGAAGAAATCTTCAAGGCCACAAAAGAACTTGGCCATGACCGCGCACCTAGTCCCGACAGCTTTCCGGTTGCCTTATTCAAAAACTTTTGGAAGTCGCTTCGACCTGCCATTCTTGCTTTTTTTGGAAGAATTTCATGTGAGAGGCATCATTCACAAAGCGATGAATGCAACTTTCATTGCACTGGTTCCTACAATTGAAGGGGCCAAAGAAATCAAGGACTTCCGACCTATAAGCCTTATAAATAGCTCCTATAAGATTCTCTCCAAAGTCCTAGCCTCAAGACTTAGAGAGTTCTTGGCTGGGTTATATCCCCTCACCAAGGGGCCTTTGTCAAAGACTGCCAAATTCTGGATGGGGCTTTAGTAGCCCACAAGTGTATACACTCGAGACATCTTTCCAAAATACCGAGGGATCATAATCAAGCTAGATTGGGAGAAAGCCTACAACTGAGTTGATTGGGATATCCTCGATGAGACCTTTTGGAGAATGGCTTTTGGGCTCGATGGAGGAAGTGGGTCAAAGGTTGCATTTCCAATCCCGATTTCTCGGCCCTCATCAACGTTTCACTGAAAGGCTTATTTTCGTCCTCTAGGGGACTTAGACAAGGAGATTCATTGTATCCATTCCTCTTTGCTGTGGTGGGCGACGTCTTCATTCAGTCTATAGGCAAACTCTATAGAGGTCTTATTGAAGGCTTCAATATTGGGAATGGGGGTCCTATCATTTCACATTTCAGTATGCAGACAACACCCTTATCTTCTGTGGGGCAAATCAGCAGCAGGTCGACACTTTACTCCTGTTCCTGAATGTTTCGAGATGATTACTGGTTTTCGAGTAAATATGTCGAAAACTAAATTGATGGGGGTGTCTGCCAATACCCAAACTATCAACAACCTTGCTAGTCGATGGGGATGCGAGGTTGATACCTTACCATCCACCTATCTAGTTCTGCCCCTCTGCATTGATAAGCCTAAAGCCCGTCAATGGGGCCACATTATACATAAATTCGATCGTAGGCTGGCCGGTTGGAAAGATGGGTTCCTTTCATCGGGGGGGTAGAGTAACCCTTATCAAAGCAATGCTGTACAGCATCCCTATCTTCCAAATGTCCTTGTTCATTGAAGGTGGCCAACTGATTGGAGCAACTTATGCATAACTTCTTATGGTTGGGCCAAGGAAGCAATAGGAAATTTCACCTCATTGCCTGAGACAGGGTTTGCCTACCCAAAAAAGTCAGAGGATTGGGTATTCGCAGTCTCAAAACAAACAATCTCACACTTCTTTGCAAGTGGTGGCGGCTACTCAAGAGAACCATCTTTGGAAAGATGTCTTCCACCACAAATACCATCTTCATCCTTCTGACTGGCTACCACTTTGTCGGGTGGGCAGTTGACCCTCTGGGGCATGGAAATCGATTATGTACATTCTACAGCCTCTCACAATTCTGAGACAACATCAGATTCAGGCATCGAACTGGTAATTGAGTCGAGTTTTGGCTGGACGTTTGGATTGTTTGAGCACTACCTTCAAAGAGAGGTTGCCCGATCTCTTTCTCTTTGAGCACAATGGCCAGGCTTCCGTGGCTGATATCTTCGAATCCACAGGATACACCAGGGTTTGGAGCCCAAACTTTAGGAGGCCTGTGGCTGAATACGAATTGCAAGTATTCCTAGAGCTATCCTCCCTAATGCAATCAATCTTCCTCCCCTTGAAGGGAGAGGATAAAATGGTCTGGGTACCTGCTGCCTCTGTCCACTTCATGGTATCATCCTTCTACAAGAGGATCCAATTGGGGCCTACCTTCCTTGCTTCGCCTCCCTCTATCTCCTCCGAAGCTTGGTTCTCTTTCGTTCCCCAAAAATACAAGTCTTCCGCTGGATAGCTCTGGCTGAGAGGCACGTACCATTGACCAATTTCAGAGAAGGGGAATACCAATCCTGAACAGGTGCGTCATGTGCCTTGATGACGAGGAGACCAATTCCCATATGTTTATCCATTGCAAATGTGCAAGAGAACTGTGGGGGGACTTTCTGCAGCAGTTCAATTGGTCCTGGATTACCCCAAGGACTGTCCCCCATATTTTCAGCTCCCCATAATGTCTCCCACGGGCAAAGTTGGGCATTCTCCTGTGGAAGGCTTCTGTTGCTGCCACTTTATGAGTCATTTGGACCGAACGTAATGGCAGAACTTTCAGAGGTGAATTTGCCACACTCAAGTCCCTCAAAAACAGGATCATGGAATCTGTGATCTTTTGGGCTTTAAACAACCCCACTTTCAAATCCTTTTCCCACAGAGACTTCCACCAGAACTGGCAGGTCCTGCTTTTCCTTAAACCGCCCCGCTCTCTCGAACTTCTTTGTGGCAAACCCCCGTCCCGGGACACACCAAATTCAACTTCGATGGATACTCCTTAGGCAACCCTGACCCGGCCGTCATAGGGGGCATTTTTTGCAATCACGAAGGAAGGACCCTATTTTCCTAATCAAAACACATCGCCCACACTGACTTGAGCACACCTGAGACCCTCGCCGTGTTAGGTGGTCTCAGAAATTTTGTCCACAGTGGGGTAACAACTTAATCATGGAGGGGGATTCCATGAACGTCGTCTCATGGGCTTCAGGCTCCACAGATTACCCGTGGAGACCGGCAACCTTTTGCGACGAAATAGCTCATATTTGTAGGGCTATTCACGTCACTTGGCGACGACACACATGGCGCGAAGCAAACTCTGCAGCTGATCAACTGGCCAAAGACGGAGCCAGAGGAGTAAGTGACATCCCGGGAATCTCCCATGCCCACACTCAAGCATAGTTCTACTGATTTTCTGGCTGTGAATGCATAGCTTTCGGGGTTTTTGTATCCCCCAGTTTTTTGGCTGTACATGCATATCTTTTGTGTTTTTCTTGTGTAAAGCACCCCTTTAGGGGTTCTTGTACATTTCACCCACCCTGTGGGTGAAAATTTTAACATCTTGTAAATCACTTAGCCAAAAACCAAATGGCAAGTAGTCGTGAAATAGCATCTAAAAACCCAAGTGATTCACGATACGTAACATCTTACTTGGTTAATCTTTGCCTGATATCCTTCAAAACAATGCACAAAACAAACTCAAATGGTCACAAAAAATCTTCAAAATTTCTTGATTTATTAGGATTTGATAAAAAAATTGAGTAGAAATTTCTACAATCCATGAAAATGGTTCTATGGAGTTTTTTTTTTATTCTATTAATAGCAAGAGTGAGAAATTAAAAAAATAAAATAAATCTCAGTTGTCTTTCCTTGTGCCAGTTATCTTTCTCTGCCTAGTCTGTATCAAAATTCCAAAAATAGAGTATTGTTATCTTCCCTTGTCTCAGTTATCTTTCTTTGTCTAGTGTGTATCAAAAATGCCAAATTTCTGTGTATCTTCCTTTGTGTTCTTTTGCATCAAATTTTCCCACAGGTGTCTAGTCTTTAGAGCCACAGGTGTGCTTGTTCCCTCTTTTCTTCCTACAATTTTATCTTTCTACTATAGGTATAAATCTTTTATAAGCTTTTAGAGTTCTTTTCTGTCAGCAGACATTGGTGGGATTTAGTGTATCTTATGTTTAGTGTGTCTCTTTTTCAAAAACGGCCCACTACAACCACAACTTTGTTCCTTTGGAAAACAAATGCTACTTTCAGTAATTAAGTCAGTTACCCAGAAAAAACAATTTAATCAGAAATTCCATTTAGAGTGGCACGATGGAGAGTATTCAATATTTTGAATATGAACCTGAGAAATTTTCTGTTTACTGTGTTTGCCCCCAATATATTTGGAAGCAATGAAACAAGGCATTTGCTTCCTGATAAAATTCTTGAAGAAAACTATCATAGTCAGGAAATTAAAGGAACATCTAAGTGGAAAGCTGATATATTTCCTAATGATGAGATTGATCAATGGGTTCACATATTTTTTGATCTTGAAAAAGAGGGAAAATTCCTTAAATTGGCCCATGTTGAAGAATCAAACTATCGGGATTGGTATACACCAGTTTGCGACCCATTTATCCAATTCCGTTTGTTGCTTGTCTATATGAAAATGAATTGG